GGAGGACATCAACAGCATGACTGACTGCACAGAGTACATCAAATTCTGTGAAAACACCACCCTGCCCTGCCAACCCAGACTGTGCGCTGCTATCCCAACAACAAGCCATGGATCACCAGCCACCTGAACAATAAGAACAAAGTCTTCAGGTCTTGGGACAGGGAAGAACTGAGGAGGGCACAGCGTGATCTGAGAGGGAAGCTGAGAAAGAGCAAGGACTCCTACAGGAGGAAGCTAGTGGCCAAGCTCCAACAGAAAGGTGAGGGATTTATTAACCCCCCCCCCCCCCCCCGGTGAGCTCTCTGGACACAGACACACCATCTCTGCAGCACCCTTCCCCCTCCCACACACCGGAGGAAACATCATGCACCCTCCTCCACATGACTGTGACTACAGGCCAGGTTAGGAGACAGCTGGAGAGACTTAAGTAAGGCTGCAGGCCCTGATGGCATCAGCCCAAGGGTTCTGAGGACCTGTGCAAGCCAGCTGTCTCCTGTTCTGCAACAGCTCCTCAACCTGAGCCTGAGCTTCCAGCCACTGCTACTGACGGAGAAACTGCATGCGATGAGGGTCGACACATCCACAATTTCCTGGATTACCGACTACCTGACACACAGACCACAGTTTGTCTGACTGGGCAGTGTCCTGTCTGACATGGTGGTTAGTAGCACAGGAGCTCCACAGGGGACTGTTCTGTCTCCTTTTCTTTTCACTTTGTACACCACATACTTTCAGTGGGGTCATGCCACCTGCAGAAGCTCTCTGATGAAACTGCAGTGGTTGGGTGTACAAGTGATGGATGAGAGGAGGAGTACAGAGCACTGGTGGATGATTTTGTGGAGTGGGCTGGAAGAAATCACCTGTTGCTGATCATGGCCAAGACCAGGGAGATGGTGATTGACTTCAGGAGGAAGAGGACGGCTTATCAACCCCTGTGCATAAGGGGAGAGGACATCATCAGAGTCGAGGACTACAAGTACCTCGACATCCACTTAGACAACAGACTGAACTGAAAGGCCAACACCGATGCTGTGTACAAGAAGGGGATGAGCAGACTATTTCCTGAGGAAGCTGAGATCTTTCAATGTGTGCAGCAAGATGTTGGAGATCTTCTACCAGTCTGTTGTAGCCAGTGCACTTTACTTTTCTGTAGTCTGTTGGGGGAGCAGTATCAGAGCCAGTGAGACCAACAGACTTGAGAAACTCATTAAGAAGGCTGGCTCTGTGATTGGCCACAAACTGGATTCATTTGAAGCAGTGGTGGAAAGGAGGACATTGAACAAACTGTTATCCATCATGGATAATCCTGACCACCCTCTTCACCACATACTGGACAGACAGCGGAGCTCTTTCTCCAACAGACTGTAATAGCTTCGCTGTCACAAGGACAGACACAGGAAATCATTCCTCCCCCAAGCCATAGCGCTATTTAACACCTAACCTCTGTCTGACAGAGAGGACTCACAGCTCTCTACAGCCTCTCCTCTACAGCTTAATAGTTAAGTTACAACCATTTGTTTGAACTGCTGGTCATAACCAATTGCACACTTGTAGCTATTTTGCACATTTTTTTTACAACCTCTACCTCACTTCTGACTGTGTGTATATAGTTTGATCTTTTTACTCCTGCAATTTGATATTTATTCATTTTATCTTATTCCTATATATTTCTTGTATATTTCAAATTTTAGTAATACTCATTTTTGTATATATTCTATATTTCTATATTCTAATGTCCACATACTGTTTGATTACTTGCTGCTGTAACACACTAATTTCCCAATTTGGGATCAATAAAGTAATATCTATCTATCTATCTATCTATCTATCTATCTATCTATCTATCTATCTATCTATCTACCTACCTACCTACCTATCATGGCAACAGTACTCCCCAGTGGCAGGGGCCCCCCAGCAGGATAATGCCACACTGCAAACATTGCTCAGGAATGGCCCAAGGAATGTGACAAAGACCTTGAAGTGTCAACCTGGCCTCCAAATTCCCCAGGTCCCAATCTGAATGAGCATCTGTGGCACGTGCCCTTGTCCCACCTCACAACCCACTGGACTAAATGGATCTGCCGCCAACGCAATGGTGCCAGTCACTGCAGGACACTCCCAGTGATCGTGTGTCCATGCCTCAACAGGTCAGAGCCAAGGGTACGAGAGGGGGTACTTGGCCTGCAACAGTGTTTGAGTGGGTGGAACGTGCAGCAGAACAATACATTGGAACAAAAAAATCAAAGTTATTCAATTCACCTGTCAGTGGTTTTAATGTTTTCCCTGATTGGTGTAAATTACTAATAAGGATTTTTTTTTTAAGTGTCTAGCCTACTGAAAAGAAGAATTATTTTTTTGTTACCTTAGGATGAGCCATTTACAGTGCTGTGGAAAAGTATTTGCCCCCTTCGTGATTTCTTATATTTTTGCATATTTGTCACACTTAAATGTTTCAGATCATCAAACAAATTCTAATATTAGACAAAGATAACCCGAGTAAATACAAAATGCAGTTTTTAAATGATGATTGCATTCATTAAGGGAAAAAAGCTATCCAAACCTACCTAGCCCGATGTGAAAAAGTAATTGCCCCCAGAACCTAATAACTGGTTGTGCCACCCTTGGCAGTAACATCTGCAGTCAAGCGTTGACAATAACTGGCAATGAGTCTTTTACATCGCTGTGGAGGAATTTTGGCCCACTCCTCTTTACAGAATTGTTTTAATTCAGCAACACTGGAGGGTTTTGGGCATGAACGGCCTGTTTAAGGTCATGCAACAGCATCTCATTCAGGGTTGAGTCCGGACTTTGACTAGGCCACTCCAAAACCTTCATTTTGTTTTTTTTTAAGCCATTCAGAGGTGGACTTACGGGTGTGTTTCGGATCATTGTTCTGCTGCATAACCCGAGTGCGCTTGAGCTTGAGGTTACAAACTGCAGGCCAGACATTCTCCTTCAGCATGAATTCAGAGCAGAATTCATGGTACCATCAATCAGGGCAAGTCGTCCAGGTCCTGAAGCAGCAAAGCAGCCCCAGACCAATTACTTTATCACATAGGGGCAGGTAGGTTTGGATAGCTTTTTTTCCCTTAATAAATGAAATCGCCATTTAAAAACTGCATTCTGTATTTACTCCGGTTATCTTTGTCTAATATTATAATCGGTTTGATGAACTGAAACATTTAAGTGTGACAAATATGCAAAAATATAAGAAAAATCAGGAGTTCTACATCAACTCCACTGGCTTCCCATCAAACACCTTATTAACTATAAAATCCTCCTCCATACATATAAGACCATCCATAACCTCGCTCCCTCATACCTCTCTGCCCTCCTACACATCAATATCCCCACCCGGTCTCTCAGGGCTGCCTCTTCCATCAGCCTGACTGTCCCCCCAGCCCGTCTGTCCACCATGGGGTCCAGAGCCTTCAGCCACTCTGCCCCTCGTCTCTGGAACTCCCTCCCCCATGACATCAGGAACATTGACTCCATTTTAGTTTTCAAGTCCCACCTCAAAACCTATCTGTTTAGGCAGGCGTATGAGTGTTAATGTTTCCTCTGTCTTTTAATGTTCTGCTGCAAACTCTGCACTGTTTTTCTGTTGTATTTTAGATGTGTTTTAATTGTATTACCTGTATTTTTTGATTGGTGTACAGCGACCTTGAGTGCCATGAAAGGAGCCTTATAAATAAAATTTATTATTATTATTATTATTATTATCAATTAGGTTTTAAGAGAAACATGATGTGTGTTGTTTTTGGAAATATGTTCTTTGATAAACACTCTCTAGAAGTGCACATTTTAACTTTTTTGCCATGGTCTAGTGTTAAACAAGTGTTATCGCCCAGCGAACCACTGAAGTTTCTCTTACAGTTTACATCCATGTCTGTGAATACATGGATGCTTCAAACGCACAGAAGATCTATACAAACGGCAGTTTCAAGGTGGATACCCAAGATGAGTGTCACCAATTAAGTATCTGACCAAATGTCTCCCCTTCTGTTCCTGAGATACGATGTTCAGTAATGGCTACACAAGTGTTTTTGCATAACATTATGATGTCACAGTGAAGCTGACCTTTTGGATATATAATGTCATCACATCATAATTTTGATGTCTTGACACTTTTGTGAAATTCTGTCATACTTAAAATATAGATTCCTGAATTATGGTCAAACACATGTTTTGTGAGGTCACAGTGACCTTGACCTTTGACCACCAAATTCTAATCAGTCCAAGTGGACATTTGTGTCAAATTTGAGGGAATTCCCTCCAGGTGCTCTTAAGATATCACATTCACAAGAATGCAACAAACGATGTCACAGTGACCCTGACCGTTGACCACCAAATTAAAATCAATTCATCCTTGAGCCTGGGGGAACGTTTGTGCCCGTTTGTCCCCCTCCCCCCCAAAGGCATTCTTGAGATAATGTATTCATGAGAATTAGATGGACTTATGCCCATACCTCCAGAAAACCTGAAAACATAATGCGGCCACGGCAATTGCCAGCGTGGAAGCATAAAAAGCAAATGAAAATCGGAATAAATTGAAATATCAAATTGCAATACATACAGAATCTCAACACTTAAGAATCACAATATAGAATTGGCACCCTAAGTATGGTGATAGTATCGAATCAGGAGATAAGCATATTGTCCCAGCCCTAATTATTCATCAGGGCCAAGATTTAGTTCAGAATAAATATGATACAAACACAACACTTTTTGAAGGGAGTCCTGTCATTTTTTTTCTATTTTAGTTAGTTTTGCTTAAATACAATATTGATTCAGTTAGCTTTAAGTTTATTTTCAAAAGTTTTTATTCTTTTTATGTCAGTTAACTAATGTTTTTCATACCTAGTTTTAGTTTTCAGTTCAGTTTTAGTTGACTATAATAACCTTTGAGTTAACATAGAAAATTCTTTTCTTGTTAAAGCCCATACAAAACTCCACCAATCAGCGCTAAACACACAAATCACAACCAGTAGCAGACTTACAATCTGTTTCTCTGTGTACTTATTGGAGCTCAGCAGGTTGACTGCCTCCATGTGTCCAAAGTCAATGTCATGGCCGAGCAGGAAGATGAAGAGCAGCTTACAGACGTATTTCTTCTTGCTGTAGCCATCAAGAGCCTTGTCCCCTTTAAACTTGGAGCGAATGTTGGCCAGCTCTTTATTAATCCGCTTGATCTCAGCTTCCTTGCTCTTACCTGACAGGGGCAGAGGTAAAACAATGTCAACATTTGAATCATGACCATGATCAACCAGGCTATAAAAAGACTGTTTTATTCCTTTTTTTAAAAAAATATTATTATTGTAGTACACTTTGAGTTCAAGAATCAACACATCTGGAAAACAAGTTTTCAGGGTAGGGCTCCCCGGTATACCGGTTCATACCGAAAACCAGTCTTTATTTTCGATATGATGAATTTTTCATATACTTCAATACCAGTGAATAGCCCAAACAACGTCCAGAATGTGCACGGCAGTAAAGTGTTTCAGCTGGGACCCATTTCCACGCTGCAAACCACAGGCATGCTAGAGCCATAGAGAAAAGTTTAGAGGCTAGAATGCCTGCCGGAGAGAGTTCTGAAAGCAAATGCCCCCAGCTGCTGGATTTAAAAAGAAAAAAAAAAAAACGTTTCCATCTTAGCTGTTTAGAAACTACCGTTAAAAAATATTTGACACTACGGATGCTTCATATCCAGGCCTATAGAACAGGTCTATACCTTGTCCTTTTATTAAACAAACTAAACAGCCTTATGTTATTTATGTTATTTACATGACATCATGCCACTTCTGTCTCTACATGGTCGCGCCTTTACAATTCTCTGCTCTCTGTATCGCACATGGCGGAGTTCTGCCCCGATGCGCACACAGACACGTCAGCCTGTGTTGCTTTCAGGTGCTGTCACGTAAATAACAACCTCCATATTATATAGCCTACTCCCTGCATTATATATGTTATGTAATTTTACTGTGCATGGGTTGGTTGTTAATATATTCGGAAAATTAAACGGTCCTGAAACTGCGATCCTGCAACTGCAGCCTCCGGTACTGCAGCTTCACCTTACTCCCACATGCGCCTACCAGGTACCTTTAATGACGTTATATAACACCCCTCGTAGGGAGGCACTCGTGATTGGCTGTAAAGGAGTGAGACATCTGATTGGCTGCAGACAATCCCCTCTTAGAAAAAATGCATTTGTAAATCCGAGTCACGTCAGGGGAGTCTCAAAACTCGCACACACAAATGTAGGGAAGTTTACAAATTAAAAGCACTTTGTAAATGCAGGTTCGACAGTTCATATATCAATGTAACAACCTCCAAATATGTATTTGATGAAAATTGCAAATACCTTTACATGCGTACATTTGTGAATTTCAATTGTACATATTTAAAACAAGAAATATTTGTGTGTGCATCACAAATATGTTTATAAATTTTATTTTTATATGTGGATTTTCTTTTACTTATGGAATGAAACATTTTTGTGTGCACTGAAAATGTATGTGTTTTGAGTCCTATATATAAATCCCCAAATACATTTGTGAATCCCTTTTTGTGCATTTAGTGTGCATTTATTCATTTTGAGACTGTTCTAGCTCCATAACAACCTCTTTGATCATCTTCAGGGGGACAACATCTAGTGTCCAACTGATTTCATTACATCTTCACAGTGCCACCAGAATGTAGTGCCTCTTCACAGCTTTAATTTCATTTAAAGCTGCAAGCAGCTATGAACAGACCCTTACACCTTCCCACACATCAGGGGTACCAGTGGGACGGCAGTTCAGGTGGCCATGCATTTACAGGACTGTTGGACACAGTGAGCAAGAGTAAGAATTTATTGCCTGTATGGAATGCGTGGTGTTGGAAGTGACGTTATGCAAACTTTGCACCACCTCCTCATCCACCATGTTGTGCTAGAGAGTACACACTAAACATGTATTATGTTGCTGTATGCCAAGTATGGGCCACACAACATCAAGTTTGCGTAGACTAAATGGTGTTTGTCACACAAGGCCTAGGCTACTTCCTGTTGCCAGTAGGTGGCACAGTTACTTTGACTCAATACTGACATGTAGATGTCCTCAAGCCAGCCCTGAGTTCCAAATCGCATACTTCTACTATATACTTTAAGTATGTACTGCAGCTGCCCTTAAAAAGTATGTAGTGTAGTATGCAGTATGCATGCAGTATGCATACTATTGGGACACACTACATCCGCCATCACATCGCTCCCTGAACTCCGACCCTCTTGCTCACTTCCGTCCATAGCGCCACATTTGAATATTTTATGTTGTTGTACTTCGGAGATGCAGCAAATCTCCTCTCGTCGAGCTCGCCAGAGTCGTGCATACTGTCGGAGGTGCCGGAGAGCTCTGTTGCTGTTATGTCGTAATGTATGTTGTTGTTTCTAATAAACAGTCCCAAGCCTATTATTAGTGACCTGTCTATTGAACTAGTCACTAGTAGGCATATTAACCCCTTCACACACAGCTCTCTGTTGCTGGCAGATGTTTGTTGTTAAATATATTTACCGCTATGCAGCTGCTGGCACTATATTCTGTCTGCACGTGAAGCAGCCTTACATTCACATTACTTTTATTTGTAGTGTAACATACCTGCACATTCTTACTACATTACTTAATATGTGTTTGACTTTTACTATTCATATATTTACTAGTCTATACTGCTCATACCTGGCCCATAGTGTATTCATATTTAGTCATATTCATTCATTATTTATACCACACTTACACCACTGCCTGAACAGGTAGAATCTTCTATATTGTAGTCATAGTTGAACCCTAACATTGATTATACTATAATCACAGTAAAGTTGAATGTTGTAACCGTGTTCTTGCAAAACTGTATGATATGTGACAGTATATAATCAGATCATTGCAGTCCCAATATGTAGTGTCTTAGTATCTCAAATTAAATAAGCCATGTATGAAAGGAAGTGTGGGCGTTGGTTGTACACGCAGCTCAGTGTGACGTAACTTCCGCTGCGCAAAGGATTGTGGGTCAGAATGGCCAAAGAAGCATGCTGACATGCATACTGCGAAATGTGACCGGATGTAGTAGAACATCCTGGTACTTTTGGCATACTGCATCTGACATACTATGTATTGGGACACACTAATTCTTTTTCTGGCATACTAAATAGTATGGTAGTATGGGTATTGGATCGCAGGGCAGGACTCTTACCAAGCATGAGAAATTTGGGACAGATTGGACGATGTACACTCAAGTCACAACTTACTGTCCTAGGATTGTATCAGGGCAGGAATTTCACGAGGGCCACGCAGGCCATGGCTCTCGTGCCCTCCTCATTTGGCCCTGTGCCCTTGAAAAAAAATATCTGCCCTAAGGCCACAGTGGCCTTGATGCCCCGCCCGCACTGCCCCAAGTGATTTTGCGGTTTTCTCCTCTGCCTCTTTCCTGTCAACACGTCAATATTGATACCCAGGAAAATATTCAATACTCGATACCATTTTCGATACAGCAGCAAAAAATTAAGAGGCATGTCATTTTTTAAATAAAGATCAGAACAGTAACATCAATGATAACAACAAAAAATCCCCCCAAAATAAATAACAACCAGAAACAAGATCTGTCCATACAAATGTATTTATCTACAGCCCTGTTTATTTTCTGTGCTTCTGGTGAATTGGCACCATATTTACGTTGCTGATCAAATAGAGTTGGTAGTTTAGGCTCAGGATGCTCCTGTTTCTACCTCACTATGTGATCAGAGAACCAGGGGTTACGGGAGAAACCAAACGTTTTTTTCAGCTTCAATCTGTGACTTTACAGTTAACATAACTTTTCAGACTCACATAATTGTGTTGTCCTGTTAAACTAACATTGTCTATTAATGTTACAGACGGGCATGACTGATAAAGTTTTCTGCTTAGCTCCCACATTAACATTAGAAGGTATATTTTAGTTTGATGCTGGCGACACCAGCTGCTCAGCTGCTAGTGAAGGGAGGGGCTGTACCTGCCGTCTGCAGCATGCTGTGTTCACTTCACTAAATATTTCCAAAGAGCGCTTTTTCCTTTATCATTTTTGACCAAAAATGGCTGCTCTGATACTCCTGCAGCTGCGCTGGCCATATTACAGCAACAGAAATGTGTGCATGCATGGACAGCGACGACAACAAGCCGGGTTGCAGCGAGGGCTCTGTGCCTGCCAGAAGCTGCCTGCACAGCGCGTGTCCGTCGGACCCGTTGCGCGCACCCGACAGGCGCTGAGGTGGCGTGCACTGTTAGTATCGATACTTTTAGTATTTAGTATTGTATCCGGATACAGCCTTTGAGTATCGATGCTTTTCAGAGTATCGATACTTTTGACAACCCTAACCAAGACTAGGGATGGGCAGCACAAGCAAAAACACTATTCGAAAATCGTGGCAACTATTCAACAATTTTTCGAATAATGGTATATACAGCAGTCCTCGCAGAAGCTGATGTATGATGTCACAGCCTCTGTATACTCATCCACTTCTTAGATGACCTCACAACAGGTTTACAGAGCTTTAACTTCTGCCTGTATGAGGGAATCAGGTGGACGGTGTTGTGGTCAGAGTGGCCCAGTGCAGCGCGGGGGACGGCGTGATAGGCGTTGTTAACAGTTGTGTAACAGTGATCCAGGATATTCTTCTCTCTGGTCAGACATTTTATAAACTGTTTGTATTTGGGGAGTTCATGGGTGAGGTTACCTTTGTTAAAGTCGCCAAGGACAATAACTAAGGGGTCTGCGTAAGTCCGCTCCACACACAGTAGCTATCTGGTCGGCGAGCATGCGCTGTAGCCTACCTCCTGCACGTTGGCCTGCGGTGGGATGTAAACACTGACCAGAATGAATGAAGCAAACTCACGGGGGGAGTAAAAAGGTTTGCAGTTGATGAAAAAAAGATTCCAGATCAGGAGAGCAGTGCTGTTGGATCACTGTCACGTCATTACACCAGCCACTGTTAGTGTAAAAACAGATACCTCCATCTTTAGTTTTGCCGGAGAGTTCCGTGTTACGATCCACTGAAGAGTTGGAAGCCTGCCAGCTGCAGCGCAGAGTCTGGTATCGATCCACACAGCCATGTCTCCATGAAGCACAAAACTGCAGATGTAGAAAGTCTCCGTTTTTCACCATCAGTAGCTGAAGTTCATCCAGTTTACTGGCCAGCGAACACACGTTGGA